TGATGCACCTCAAATCAGTAACTGCTATCCATGGGAGTTCCTCATACCAAGTTTTTCACTCCTTTTATGAGATGAGGAGTGAATTTTCCATCTCTGTCAAAGCTAAAATCTTGTTCCTCTCACTGGTTGAGTCTATAACCCAGACACTAAATGTCACTTCATGCTTTGTTTGTGGGGGGACCCACATGGGAGACCATTGGCCTTGGGATGTAAGGCAGCTGGACTCACGAGGGCCTTTTAATGAGACTGCTTTCCCAAAATACAGGAAAGGCATCTGGCTCCTAAAAACTTCGATCATCAGAATGTATCTGATGTAACTGTATCTCCGGCCCAGAAGGCCAGTTCTCCACCTCGGTGGGTGATTTAACTAGTTTAGGACAGAAGTTTTACAATCACACTGCCCAAGAGACCCAATGGTAGGGAGCTCCAAACCACACAAAACCCTACACACTGGCCAACTTTTCTAATCTCCAGAATGCATGGGACGATCTTACTGCAAACATAGATTGGCAGGCACCCAGGGAGCTATACTGGATCTGTGGGAAGCAAGCTACCTAGAAGCTGGTTTGGGTCTTGTGTTGCTAGGCTCAATCAGACCATCCTTCTTCTTGCTTCCCCTCAGACAAGGTGAAAAACTGGGAGTCCCCATATATAAAGAAAGATTAAGTAGACAAAAATGGATGCCTTACAAATTAGCAACTGGAAAGATTATGAATGACCTCCTGAGCGAATCATCCTGTACTATGGTCCCGCCACGTGGGCAGAGGACAGGTCCGGGGGCTATCGCACCTGTATATATATATGCTCAACCACATCATCAGGCTGCAGGCTGTTGTTGAAATTATAACTAATGAAACTGCAAAAGCCCTCAATTTGCTGGCCAAACAAAGTACTAAGATGCACAATGCCATCTATCAGAACTGCTTGGCTTTAGACTATTTGCTTACTTCTGAGGAAAAAGTTTGTAAAAATTTAACCTGAGCAACTGCTGCTTACAGATTGATGATGAAGGGGAGATCATAAAAGAGATCACAGACAGAATGAGAAAGCTCGCCATGTCCCCGTCCAGACTTGGAGAGGATGGGATCACAATGACCTGTTTGGAGGGTAGTTTTCTGCCTTAGGTGGATTCAAAACTTTGATAGGGGCAATGGGCCTAGTCCTGGGAGCATGCTTAATACTGCCCTGCCTGGTTCCCCTGGTACTGCAGTCTATCAGGACCATTATGGAGGCTATTATAGAAAGGAAAATGGCCTCACATGTAATAATGCTATGAAAATACAAACCCCTAGGACCAAGATGATGCTCTTTGATCCTAGGAGGGTCTGAGCAACAAAGAGGGTAATAACATAGCAGGGAGGAGGACCAGAAGAAAACAGACAGGCCTGACTTCTGATAAGGTAGCAGGGGGGAAGGGATGGCATATCAGAGAGATAAAATCTAAAGAATTCAAAGGTGAAGAAGATCGCATAGCACTAGGGATAGAAGGGCACTTAGCCTAGGGTGCAGTAGCCTATAGAATTACATGTAACCATATATAGGTTAAACCTTGTTTTTTAATTTTATTGCCTCTATAACCTGCTTGCAAAGGTACATAGGTGAGACCCCTTTGTTCTCCAGGCTCAGTTTTTGGACATGAGTCCACTGGGTCTGTGCTGGCACAATAAATGTTGCTTCCTGCTAAACTGCCTCAATGTCCCGTATCTCAGCTAGTAACTTCCTGCAACAGTATTATCATTGTACTGAGAGTACACTGTGACATTTACAAAAGTGCTCATGATATATCTTAGTTAAAGTCATCCCCTCCATCATTCTCCTTTCTCTCCCCCTTCTTAGAATAGTTTCAACAGTTCCATTTTTCCATTTTTATACACGAGTAGATAATATTTCCGCCATATTCACCCCCTTCATCCTTCCCCTTCCCACTGGTACCAATGCCCAGACAAGACAGGTTTTAACTTCTTATCCTTTGTTTTTGAAAAAAGACATCTTTGTTTGCTTAAGATAGCTGTACAGGGAATTTCATTATGACATTTCCATGTATATATGTATTATAACCTGAGTTAGTTCATCACCTCCATTTTTCTATATTTCAATTTTAATAGGTTTTTTACAAACATTACAGGCCTCTCTTGGTGTCCCCCAAACAAAAAACCCTCAACACTGAGTGTACTAGATAAGGCTGCAGGCCAGGGCTGGATAATGCTTGCTCATCCCAACAAGGTCTAAGGTGTGCATTTCACTCAAGTCAGGTGTTCCCTTTGAAACCCCTTGGGAAAGCCTCCCCTGCCTGTACCCTCTGCTCCAGTGAGATCCCCTTTTTAGACTTTGCACAGGCTCAGTTTTATGCTGCATTGATTGGCCTGTGTTGACACATTATTTTGAAGACATCCCTCTGTAATTGTAATGGATGTGGCCTCTCTCACCTCTTGCTGCGCCACTATCTCTCCTCCTGGAGTGTAGCCAGACAGGGCATTTAGGAAACAGGAAGCCAGATGTTCCTCAGGGAGTGGTAGGCGGGGTAACTAACAAACAAAGAGTCCTAGGCACTAGGACACAAACCCAATTCGAGTTGACAGGGAGGCTGTACAGCCAAATAGATCTGAAAATGCAACAACATTCCAGCTATCTGGAGCTGACCCTTTAATGGCATCAAAGACCCATGGTCTTTCATGGTCACACTCAGATTCTTCCTTTTGACAGTAGGAGAGAACCAGGAAAATGAGTTCAGCCTGACATATAGAAAACAGGGGCCTCTGTCCTATAAGGACAATAGAAATGAAGGACACATGATGCTGGCCTCTGCCATGCCGTGTGTTTCAATATCTTTGGGAGGTCACTGGGCAGCTGGGGGTGTGGGGGGAAATCTCAAGGACATGAGTAAGACAAAGAAGTTTCAGTCAATCCGAGCAATCAATCATGATCAAGGCTCATGATTCAAAGTGTGAAAACAAAATACCTGTAGGCCCATTGTTTTCCAAGAGATCTGTGTCGATTTCAGGTCTGTAGACAAACACATGACACTTTCAGGAAGGCACAGGTTTTAGATTGTATGCAAGTATTTAAGCTTACACTTATTGCAGTGTTTGGAGGTGGAACCTTTAAGACATGGGGCCTGGTAGGAGATAATTAGGTTATTATGGGCATCCCCTCATGAAGAGCTCAATGTAGTTCTCAAGGGACTGGACGCTGATTAGTTCCTGTGAGAGCAAACTATTAGGAAAAAAGCAAGCCTGTTGCTGTGGACATGACCATAAAAAGTGTTCCCACTTAGTTTTCTGTATGTTGCCCTGTTAGCAACCAATCTACTGGGAACATTTTCTTAATGGTGAACACTGCCCAACAGACACAACAGTGGAAGCCACAGGAATTTTCTAATAGTTACTTCATTGCTAATGAGATTTTACAACAGCCAAATCCTTGCAAATATAACTTTGTAACACTTCTTGGCTGCAGGTAGCAGGGCTCTTTCTTGGTTACAGTACAATCATCTCATATGTTCTTGTTATGTAAGGCTGATAGGACAAGTGGATTAAGCATCGGTTCTTTTAAAAAGGGCTATCTTGAAGAGAAATCAAACTTCAGTTTTAGAGGTGACCTTGATGTGCAGTGAAGGAATTGTAACATGTGGTAAAAAAAATTTTATTAAATAAAAATTTATTGACTTAAAAAAAAAAAAAGAATAAACCTAGCCTCTGAATCTCTGGCTTCCTGTGATCTCTTGTGTGTGTGTTCCCACCATGGTGATACTATACACCATGAGGTCTCACCAGAGGTCAAATACATGGAACTGCCCCAATCTTGGATGTTCAACCTTCAAAACTGTAAGCCAAACAAACCTCTTTTCTTTATGAAGTACCCAGCCTCAGGTATTTTGTTACAGCAATAAAAACTGACCAAGATAGTTTCCTTAAGACCTAGGGATGGGGTAATCTCCAATTTCATAGTTTTAAACACCATCTATATGTATACCCTGCCTAATTCAGTAGTCTCTTGTGACATCTGGCTATTTAAATTGAAATTAATTAGCCATACTAGCCACATTTCATGTGCTCAACAATCCATGTAGTTGGAGGCTGCCATATTGAACACTAGATACAGAACATTTCTGTCACCTCAGAAAGTTCCACTACAAAGCACTCACCCTCCCTATGACTCAGATCTACATTTCCAGCTTGGATTTCCCATCCCAACTGCTGACAGTTGCTATTCAGTTGCCTGCCTAACATCACCACTTGCATATTTTGGACACTCCAGACTTCACTGTGATTCAAAGCACAACCTTTTCTCTTCCAAAATGTTCAATAACCTGTTTCAGCCTGATTCACAGATTATATCACATTAAAATACTTAAAACAATTTTTTTTTGCAGTACTGGGGAATTGAACCCAGGGCCTGTGCATGTAAAGGCAACTGCTCTACCACTGAGCCACAGCTCAGGCCTTGTAATACACTCTATGTGGCTAATTTTATGTGTCAGTTTGGCTATGCATGGCATCCAGATATTTGGCCAAACGTTATTTGAGATGTTTCTATGAAGTTATTTAAAAGATGGGATTAACATTTAAATTGGTGGACTCTGAGTAAAGCAGGTAGCTCTTGGTAGTGTGAGTGAACCTAATCCAATCAGCTGAAGGCCTTTGTAGAAAAAGAATGACTTCCTTCAAGAAAAAGGAATTCTTCTAGCAGATGGTCTTCAGAGTTAAACTGTTAACTCTTCCCTGAGTTTTGCCCTGCAGGTTTTGGAATGTGCTGATTTCTACAAAGGTGGAACCAACTCCTGAAACTCAATCTCTCTCTTTCTTTCTCTCTTCACTGGAGAACCTTAATTAACATCCTTTTTTTTTGACCTTATGATGATTTTAATTTGATCTCATCTGGGTTTTGTCAATATGGTTGTGAAAACTGAGTTACATACTCTTCTTTTCAAAATGTCTTCCTTTAACACACACCTGTGTCTGAGATTGGTCAAGATAACGTGGCCGCTGAGGCAGCAATGCCTAGAAAGGTGCTTGAGAAGTCAGGCATGCCCTCCTGTGACCAGCCCCCAACTTTTCTTTTTTTTAAACTTTGAGGTTTTAAAGTCAATATACAGTCTTGTAAGGTCTAAAAATAACCTTTTCACAAAAATAAGGCAGCTTTACACAGTGAAAACATCAGTTCTTTGGAAAAGCTTATATTCTTTAGTCTGCATTGGTTACCAGGCCATCAGGATCTTCTCTAAAGATCAGATTTTTCTTTATAATGACACCTACATGCAGCTCATTGGCTGTCCAGGTAAGGTTTACAGCCTAAATGTAGAGCACTATTAAATAGGAGCTCCACTGATGTTTCACACGCCTGCACCTGCTGCGATGGTCCTAATGTTTTCTGCACATCTCAGCAGATCTTGGAGAGACAATACTGGAACTCCACATCACAGCCATTCTTGCTTTTGCCACAGGTCTCATAGCACCTGTTGTGCTGGTTATAGCACTGTGTCAGGAAAGGAATGGCAACAATAAGATGAACACCAAACAATGGAGAACCACATCCATTTGGTGAGGAGGGTTTATATCTGTAGGGTAGAACAGGCTTTGATCTGTTACTGCACTTGTACTGGCTGAGCCCATCCTTGCCCCCAGCAGGTCCAAGGTGGCATCCAGGTATGTGTCTATCCTGTGGATGCCACTGTGGATGGTCTTCAGCTTGGCCCTCCAGTTGGTGGTCTGCACCTGCTCCTGGCTGCCACTACCAGGTGCACACAGCCCAGTTGAGTCCGTGGGGTGCCAATAGGTGGCAGTGTGACTGTGTCTGTCTCCATGCCCAGGCCTCCTTTCCAGCCTCCTCCCACCCCACCCGCTGCCATGAGGTGGTAGTGTCAGGGACATGTGGCCTCATTCTCCTGGGCCCTAATTAACATCTTACAAAATTAAGGAACTTTGTTCAGTTATTGTCACTGACATGACCATCCTCTGGGACTTTATTTTAATCAATAAAAGGATAATGAAAGAGGATTTTTAAATTATCCATGCCTTTCCTAGCCCTGAAAATGGTCCTGCCAAACTGAACATGTGGGAGTCATCTTTGACTACTTCTTCTCCTCCCTACAACCAACTTATTGCTAAGTGCAGGTGATTCTGTCTCTATGACATTTCAACCCTTTCCATCTGCACTGCTACCCCCTCATTCCTAGTTAATGGGTGAAGCCAAGGAAACTGAGCTCTCTCGCTAACTCCTACAATTGCCTCCAAACTCCTCCAAGTTCCTATTCATTTTTGTTTCCCTGTCAATTTATTTTTTCACATAAAAGTCAGGGAGCTTTTTTATGAACACAAATCACGTCTCTCTATTTTTGAAATCTTTCAACGGCTTCCCATTGTGCATGGAGTGAAATGTAAACTTTTCATGAGAGCTCTCCTCAGAAGGAATCTCTGTGGAGTCTGGGCTCCTCTGACCCCTGGCATCACAAGCTGTTCTTCCCTACCCCTGGAGTCTGGCCAATGTCTTCTTCCATGTCCTTGGCTGTACTGGGCTTTCCCTTACTCTGGCTGTTCCTTTGCCCTGGAAAGCTCCCCTCTTGCTTTGCACTGCTCTGCCATATTCATGTTTTAGACGTCAGTTTGGATACTGCTTCCTCACAAAGGCCATCGTGTAGTCTTCCTGATCTACATGAGATTTCTGGGAGCTGAAGATCTAGCTCAATGGTATAGCACTTGCCTAGCATGCATGAAGCCCAGAGTTCCATCCCCAGCATTGCAAAAATAAACAAATAAATAAATGAAATCCTCACTGTTCACTCTCACAGAGTAGGTTTCTCTCTTGGCTCTATCAGAAAGTAGTAATTTTACTTGCTATACATTGGTTACTGATGTATTATCTTAAGTGCATACTGTTCACTATTGTCTTTATTACTGTGCACCATGCTTAGCAAGAAACACTTGTTGAGTGAACGAGTGGGGCAAACTCTGTTGGTTACTAGGGTCCAGCACAGCATTTGTGGAATATGATTTTGTAGGATGTTCTAGGTCAGGGGTTGGCAAACAAAATCTGGCCCACAGCTTGTGTTGATAAATAAGGTTTTATTGGAACACATCCATACCCACTCTTTACATATTGTCAATGGCAACTTTACCTCAATGGTAGAGTTGCATAGTTGTGACAGAGTAGTTGACTCACAAAGTCAACTATTTGGCTCTTAACAGGAAGAGTTTGCAAACTTTTGTTATGGGTGACTATAGTAAACTCAAACAAAATGAAAGGTTCTATGGATCTGATATATCTTGAGTTAAATGAAGTCACATAGATTTCTTTAATGTTGAACAACTTTAAGCTATTTTATTTTTTGTTTGTTTTTTGAGACAGGGTCTTTATGTAACCCAGGCTGGCCTCGAACTTGTGATCTCCTGCTTTAGTCCTCTGGTGGAGGATTAAAGGTTTGTGCTGCCACACCTAGCCTGACATCTTGAAGTTTTTAATGTGTTAATGTGTACAGCGATCTCTAAATACGTGATATAATACAGTTTCCTTATTTGAGCAAGGAACTCAGTTTGGCAGTGCTTGGTGGTTCTTTGGAATAGACTTTTTTTTGTTTTAGTGGTGCTGGGGATCAAATCCAAGCCTGGCATAATACTAGGTAAATACTCTGCCACTGAGTTATACCTCAGATCTGGAATAGACTTTGAAAAATTCTGGTCAAGATCTTGAACCCATGAAGGTGAGATTCCAACAGGATTTTCTCTGGAAAAGTATAACAGGTACTTATAAGCTGCTTTTGCTGAAATGCACTGACCCCTCACATGGGGCTGCAAATGTCCAAAGTGTAAATAAAAACTTGACATCCCTCTCTCCATTTTATATACGTCTCCTTTACTCTGAGTCTCTCTCCCCTGTACTCACCTTAGAATCCAGGAAGGATAGGACTGAGGGATAAATATCTTGCATCAGAAGTTGAAACTGTTCCCCAGAAGAATTTCTTATCATGACCAGACTGCGCCCCTCAAGTGATGACAATAACTTCACTGGAACTCCTTGATAATGACCAACCAGGCCACACTTTGCTTAATAATTAATGCATACCTCTTGCCCCCTGCCCCAACTCTTCCTATATTTAAACCTAAAGCTCATATCTGTACACTGAAGATGGGCTGAAATGCTTATGTTGCCCTTCTTGCATGTGCCTATGCCATGTAATAATTCTCCTTTCTCTGCCCTTCACCACTACTCATCTCTTTATTTGGCACACTGGAGAAAGTGGCTGGACCTGACACGTGGAACCTACTAGAGTTGGGCCTCTGGCCTGGAACTCTGGTTACAACAGAAAATTTTCAGCAGCTGCAGTAAACTGGCCTTCATGTGCTTTTCTAGATAACAAGGGGTACGTATCAAGAGTCCCACTGAGGCTGGAACTCCACAGTGTAGTCATTCAGTAGTCACCTGTGCCCAATATTGACATCCTAACATCTACTCCAGCTCTACAAATGCCACCACTACTGGGATGTACCTACACAATTGTACATCTCCTTGCATTCCTAGAGGAGAATCAGGGATGGCTGGATGGTGACTTACTTTCTCCTGACTGTTCAGCTCCTGGTATGGGATGTGGGCAGGCAGGTAGGTGTGGAGAAGAGCACAGAAGGCCAGGCCATCACTCCAGCTGCTGCTGAAATTGGTGATGTCAATATTCTGTGGGGGAAGGAAGGAAAAACAATATTAATCCCCAAATTGTACAATGTCACAGAATACAAAGGATACTGTGTTCAGATGGGTATCTACCTTTGAGTTTTTAGAAAGACAACATTATAAATTATGCAAATTTTCTGGAAATTTAATTTTGATGCCAGGAACAGCCTGTTGCCATCCATTCCATTCACAGGATAGACTTCAACAAGCACAACAGTAGGGAATTCCGGTCTGCCCCTGGGGGGATTCATTAAAGGCTGTGAGGTGTTTGATGTCAAATGAACTCCCCAGATGAGCTTTGTGTATCCCAGCATTTCTCACATCCATTTGACCAAGGAAGAATGATCACACCACCACCATTGTCATCATGCATAGCCCAATTGACAACAAGTAGATCAAGACAAAACTAGAGGTAAAGCCAAGGCAGCTGGTCAGCAGCTTGCTTCTGCTGCTACATTCCCTTTCTCAACTGGAGAGGCTCCTCAAGGGCAAGACAGAGCCCTTCAGGCTCAACAGTCTCCCTGTTAGCTTACCAAACACGCAGAGATCATGAGGCTACATGGGAAAAATGGGGCTCTTCCTTCAGGACAGGCATCCCCTTCCCACTTTAGAGACTAAAGTCTCTGGGGCACCTTTTCCTCTTAGGTCCTCAGACCTGCTCCACTTTTTCTCACAGTTTCATTCTCTGGAGTCACAAAGCTTGTTCCAAGTTTGTGCAGTTCCAAGACTTGTCAAAACTCATGCTTAGGCAGTTCTGTGCAGTTGCTGCTCAAATGTTTTGAAACAGCTGTGAGAGGGGCCTGCAAGGAACTGCAGAAGTGGGCCTGAGTTGGGGCCTGCTTAAGCTTTAAGTCTGTGTTCTGGGCTGTCTTAGGGCCATGGGAAATACTAGGTATAAGTGCAGAGCTCCTTTTTGCAATCTCCACATAGTTGTTGAAGGCAGGGAGACCTTCCTGCTCCTCCTCAAGACACCCCATCCCATGGAAAAGGAAAGCCAAGAAAGCCAAGAGAAGGTGACGGTTGCTGGCTCCTTCTAATGGAGTGGACACTGACAGCACTTCCTTCCCTCTGCCCAAATGACCAAACACAGCACTACAACAATAGAGTCAGTTCTGACTGCAGC